CTAAACTTGTAATCTCATCAAAGAATTAAATCAGGTTTGTTTGCAAAGGCCTGTTTTCCATAAAATCATTTTGACTGACATTATACTCGTATTCTTTAATTCCTTATCAATTGAATCCTGGATCAGCTTTTCCATTATTTTGCCCATTGTTGATTTCAGACTATTTATTTTAACCAGCTGCCTGGTCTTTTTAAATATTGGCACAACATTAACCCTGTTCCCATCATCTTTAATTTCCCTGGTATTCCAATATTTATTATAAATTAATATCAGCTGGTCAGACTTCTTCTTAGCCAACTCTTTTAGTAATCTTGTGTCCAAGTGTCCGGGACTGCTGATTTAACAGTGTTTATTTTTAGCAGATGTTGTTTACATTCTCCTTAGTTACTAATGGACTGGAAAGTACTTCATCCTCATGTGATGCAAGTATTTCCTCCTCCTTTTTTCCAAATACAAAACACAAATATTTATGGAATATCTCTGCCTTTTATGTATCATTAACAACAATTATGCCGTCTCCAGCTACTAGTGGGACTGTATCATTGCTACAGTTTTTGTTCCTAATATACTTTACAAAAAAAAACAAAGAAAAAACTTCTCTTTTTTAATTGTCCTTCATCCTGCCACCCATGGATTTTTCCCTGATGTCTTTAGATTCTCTTGTCAATTAATATTGAATGCTATCCCTTTCCTTCTTTTCCCCCAGTCGTTGTAATTTTTTGTTACTAATTGCTGCATTCTTTTCACCACTGAATTAGGATGGGCTTTTAGCCAAAGGTGTCCTCTTGGTTATGGAATCGTAGCTTTCTGGCCATCTGACAGATTCATCATAAAAAACTTCCAATTTTAATTAACATTTTACTATGTTTTTCTTCCCAGTCATTTTAAGTTTGAAAATCTGGTTGCTTTAAAAAAAAAAAATTTTTTTTTAAATTAACACTGTCAGATTAAAAATAATATAACACAGATTTGTATACCTGTGTTACTATTTACATCTTTGTCATGTAAATTTGTGTGGTTTTGCATGCTTCAGCTATCTCCTTCATTGGTAAGGTTCAGAGGATCAGCTATGAGATGTGGGGGGAATGCTGTTCATATGCTAGTTTATTCATGAATGGCAGAAGAATTTAGGAAATGGAAAAAGGTCTTTCCCCTGGAGTGAAATAATTTAGACCTCTTTATACTATATTTATCTGCACTGTTTATGCAGCAGTCTTTGTTTTTTGTAAATGTCTGTCCAATTAAGAACAAAAATCATGTGGCACTGCTTGGATAAATCTAGTGATGAACTTTGGTCATGGAGGCGTTTTTTCTTAGCGGGATTGTGAACTGGAAATCTAGTTAACACACTAAATCTAAGTTTTGGCACCCACGTGGAACAGGAATCCATCTGCTGATGAGCCACATGGCCTGGGGTTTTTCAAGAACTACCTCAATAATCCTGAACATTCTTAATATTTATATACATTAAAACGAGGCACAGTTTACAGCAGTCTCTAACAAGGCTGTTGCATTTACCCCACTCCAGAAACGTCAGGCTTTTGTCCTTGTTCAAGTTACAGTAGAACCTCAGAGTTATGAACACCAGAGTTATGAACTGACCAGTCAACCGCACACCTCGTTTGGAACTGGAAGTACGCAATCAGGCAGCAGCAGAGATGGGGGTGGGGGGAAGCAAATGCAGTACAGTGCTCTGTTAAATATAAACTATTTAAAAAAAAAGGAAAGCAGCATTTTTCTTCTGCTTAGTAAAGTTTCAACACTGCATTAAGTCACTGTTCAGTTGTAAACTTTTGAAAGAACCACCATAATGTTTTGTTCAGAATTACCAACATTTCAGAGTTCTGAACAACCTCCATTCCTGAGGGGTTTGTAACCCTGAGAAATACATATTTGGGTGTATTAAAAATATTTTGCATCATTTATCAATAATGATCTCTTCATCGCTGTCCTTTCTTTTAAGAGGAATCTATCGTGGGATATACTTGGGTCTGGAGTCAGAAATATTACATATACAGAATCATAGTTCCCTCTCTCAATTCTGCCTAAATTACACTGTAATACATCTTAAGGAGTACCTTCCATTGAGACATTCATAGTCAGCTTTCTTATGCTAATTATAGTGGTGTCCACAAGCTCCCCCGCAGCGGAGGCCCCATCAACAATTTCATTATAAATACCATTTTGCCGAGATGTTTGTACTGAAGTCTGTTTTTTTTTAACTTTGAAAAGGGACTGTAAAAATGACACATCTCTCTGTATGTATTCAGTCCTACCTGTCTGTGTAGCAACTAAAATACATTCTTACTATGTTTGTTCCTGTTAGCACTGCAGAGCTGTTGTGCAAGTTAGAGCTTTGTCTGATGCTGCGCATCAACAGCAAGATTGTTTACTAAGGCTTGGTCTACACTAAACCCCCAAATCGAACTAAGGTACGCAACTTCAGCTACGTGAATA